AACTGTCAAAAGTCACTGAACTAGACACTTTTTTTTTTTTTTTTAGCTATAATCGACAGATCACATTATAAGTTTCAGGTGTACAACATGATGATTTGCTATTCATATATACTGTGAAATGACCACCATAATACGTCTGGTTCCCATCTATCACTATACACTTTACATGGATGAGGTTTATGTAATTGAATACACAAGGTTGACAAGAAAAAAAAAGGTGAGAGCCTGAATATGGGCAGTAGGAGACAAGTTAGAAGAGGGACAGATTAAGAAATAGTTAAAACCGAAAAGTGCCAGGACTCAGTCCAGGAAGACAGACTCTGCACTCTGTCCCACGGACTGTACCTAAAGCAAACCCACAAAGAGCAGGCTCACTACTGCCTGGCTTTGTGCTCCCTAGAAGGCTGCTTGCTTCTGGGACTGAGCCTCTAGTTCCAGGGTTCTCCTGCTTTCAAACACCGCCCCCTGGTGTTCAGATGTGAAATGCAGCTCACGAGGCTGCATGCCTTCCAGGAACCAAGGACCTGGTACCGCACCTCTTGGCATTTTTTGGAAATTATGTCACAAATGTACAGCAGCCACCTCCTACCCCAACTCCCTTGGGCCCAGGGGAGGGAGCGGCCGGAGCCGTAGCACATGCACTAAACAAGAATGTACGTCCAATAAAATGTGGACACGGAGCCCCGGTGCCTGGAGCTGCCGCCCCGCTAGTACCCTGGAAAATTAATAATAGTCCCAGGAATGTGCAATAGACACGCTGAGAGGTTTACGTACCATACAACACACATTACGTGCAGGATGAACAAAACCAGAACATGAGACACCTTTCCTCTGACCTTTGAATTTCGCTGTAAGTTCAGAATTTTCAGCAGAGAAAAATAGAATGGAATCAGTTCAGAGTTTCAGAAAGCTGATCGACCTTACGGAGGTATATACTTAAGATTTTATTTCAGTAACAGTTTATCGGAAATAGGGAATGGGATATTCCTTTTTCAGGAGGTGGGCAAATATAAATTGTTGGGAGAAAAAAAGAATGGGCATATTTTTGTATCAGGAAGATTTTGCATTGGTTGATGAAAATGCAGTCTGATGGGGCCAGGCTAGAGCAAACTTCTAGGGATCTGGTGGGGCTGGGGGGCTCAAAATCTGATGAGTAAGCATCAGTAAGTACCAATAATGGATTCAGAGACCAAAATGATCAACATTTTCTGTTTTAAAAAGGAAGGGAGGGAGGAGAAGGAGGAGGAAGAAATATGTATCAGTGACAACGAAAGGAGACCCTGGGGCCCAGACAACTGGAAGAACAGTAAACACAGATGGCATTTACAGTGAGCCACGTACTTTTTGAATCAATATTAACTAATCCTCCTAACAACTCTATGGAGAAGACACCATTTTAGAGAAGACTCCCTTTAACAGATGAGCACACAGAGGCCCAGAGCACTTAAGTAACTTGCTCAAGATCCTATAACTAGTACATGGCAGAGGTGAGAACTCAGGCAGCCTAGGTCCAAAGTCCACAATTAGGCCCTTAATAAAAGGTAGCTACTTTATTAATAAGATGGAATATAAGAGGTTACCAGATATGTCTACCAAAACTTCGCAAGGATATTTGAAATACCACTTTTGGCATCATTCTGGTTTAAAGCAGGCAATGGAAAGCTGTGGTATAAAAATGGTGTTAGAAGAGGCCAAGAGCATAGAAATTCTAAGTGGCCAACAGAACCCGGTATTGTAAAGTGATGTAATTAAATTTGGAAAATGTCAGTGTGGCTTCATAATCTCAAAAAGACACATATTGCCCCCAATTCTGTCATGATTAAAACTGGCCTAAGTGTAGACACAGTGCTTTAGCCATGACCAGTTCGCATACCCAGGTAGTTTTCAATATAGTTCACTACTAAAACAAACCAGGCCTCCTTGGAGACAAGCCAATACCATATCTTGACACCGGACAAAAATGAGGATGGCAAGAATGAACCCAGAAGCATCAGGAGCCCTGCTATACAGGCAAAGAAGTTGATGGAAGAGAACTCTCCCCAGCTGAGTTGTGACAATTTGGGCATCAAAAAAAGGAGGAGGAGAAGGAAATTATTATTATGGAAACAAGGTGAGTCTGATAAATGCCTTATGTTCAACAGTGTCTCTCAAAGGGAAAGTTAATAGAAAATGTACACAAAGATAGTTTTAAGAGAAAAAAGGGTGACCGTAATAAGCTGTGTCACAATTTATATTGATTTTTAAAACTAGAAAGCATTAATATATAAGGTGATGTAGTTTCTTTTATAGCATACTTATTATATGTTTGTTTATAAAATTTCTGTGTCAGGTAAGAAAGAGTAACAAAATGAGTTATAAGTCAGGTCATCCCAGGACGTTAGGGCCCACGGAAGGACTCCTTGGTGTTGGTAATCCTACAAGAACCAGGTGGAAAGGGGGGCAGAGATCCACTGCCATTAGTCGTTACATACAGTTAACAAGGAACCAACAGTCAGCAGTGTGTTTGTACCATAATAAACTAGTCACGCAGCCTAAAGAGGAAAACCAAATACTCAAACTCAACCTCTCATCTCCTAGGAGGTGAAATCTATCTACCTGGCCCAACAAAGTAGGGTAAAATATTAATAAGGAATACATAAGTTCTTAGTAGTTCTGAAAACTAGGTCAGTGCATCACGATGATAAGGGGTCCTGACTTTGAATCACCTTGAAGCCACCTCATCCTGAGTGCACCCCCGTCCCCCCAAGAATCAGCACCCTCTGACTTTAGCTACTCCGAAAAGTTATTCTGTCTCTTTTGGATCTGAAAGATCCCTGCACCTGTCTGGAAAGTGTTACAATGATGTTAACTCAGAACACATTGAAATAAGTAAAAGAGCCCTGGGAAGATATAAAAAATAAGAAACAATGAAGAAATAAACTCTAACCACCTGACTGCAACTGGCTCTGAGGGCAGGCCACAGCTGCCTGCATCCCCCAGGAGCAGGCCTCAACCAATGGCAGGAAGGGAGTTAGTGGACCAAGGCCCAGCTCTCTGACCTTTAGGTAAGGACAACTCAGAGGCCAGTGTGTAGCGTCTCCAGGAGACCCCCCGATGGGAGTGAGCTGCGGCTGCCCACGGTGGGCAAGACACCATCCTTTCCCTGACTCATCCCCCCACCCCTCCTCTAATGGGGCTTCCTGGGATCACACACCAAATCTATGTGGACTAATATCCACATCTCAGGGTCTGGACAAGAGGGGCTTAAGAACTCGAGCATTAAACAAAGCCCCCACGTGTGTAATGCTGTTCTCTAGGCATAGGATCCCCTTGCGCTTTCATAATCTACCATCAGGAGAGCTGGCTTGAGGGGCACGTTGGGGGCTGGGGGGGAGGGCTGGTGGGCACTGCCTCTCCTGTCACCATCCCCTCACCTCTCTGGACCCACGGGCTCCCACCAGGACACTCCCTGTCAGATCTCACTGGGGAAGAAGATGTGATTCCTCCCACAGGGAGCTGTGATTTGGGAGAAAGTTCTTAGAAATGTCCATTCGTAAGGCTGGAGCTGCACCTAGGGACTGTGGAGGGGAAGGCAGGAGGGGGACAGGGCAAGTGCCCATTTACTCAGCTGTCCCGACACGGAGACTCTTGAGCCTGAATCTACCCCCAGGTCCCTGTGGTCCATGTCTTTTATAGGCAGCTCCCCAAACACAGAGTACATGAAAACGCAGTTCATCCTTCCCACAAACACAGTGGTTAAGAGCTCAGGCTTTGAATTTAGGCTTACCCATTTCTACTGTCACCTTGGGCAGGCTTCTTCATGCCCCTGAACCTCAGTCTGCCCGTCTATAAAATGGGAGAAAGACAATCTAATTCCTAGGGCATTAACTTAAGAGGTTAAGAAACATGCCAGGCATGTTCTCTGCACTCTCACTGCCCGGTCACACACATGTAGGTGTAGCTACCGTCTCGTTTTATAATTCTAAGAAAGCTCCCCAGCATCACCCAGCTAATAAGAGGCAGATCTAGGGTTCAAACTTGGGCAAGTCTGATTCCGCTCTTAGCCTCCACATTACACAAAGGATGTGGAAAGCAGTTAACAGTGCCCAGCAACACAACACCAGGTGCTTCACCAATGTCACCTCTGTCCTGTCTCCGTCCTTCATCTTTGTCTCCTGGGCTGTCTCCCTCGGGGGAAGAACTATGTTGAGGGGCACAGACAAGAGAGATTCATGAGGCTCAAAAGGAAGAGGCTCAATGCCAAGCTCTTAATAAAGAGCCTTCAGAGCGAATAGATTTTGGCTTCTCCTTCCATTAATACCTAAGCTCTTAAGGTTCTTCCAACTCCATAATTTCCTTTTCTGGAACCTACACCAAACCTTCAAAATGACTTTCAAAAAAGCCAGAAAGTCAGGAAGACTAAATATCTTCAAAGTTTCAGGTGAAATTAAGTCACCTCTAAACCGTTTGACTCAGTGTCACACAGAGCAGTGGATTTGGAACCCATCTCTCAGCTTTGGCTCCAGCGTTAACCAAGCTGGGTGATCGTGAGCAAAACCACCTGCCTTCTCTGGGCCGCCTTTTATTTATTTATTTTTCCTGAGCCTCCTTTTGAAACATTTGTTAATATAAAGTAATGATCCTTGTCTTGCCTTTCCTAAAGTTGTTGCTGAGAGAACCATGTGAGGAATGTCCATGAAAATACCTCACAAGTTATAAAGCCCTACATACATGTGGGAAATTATCAGTGTTATTTAACAGCTTATCAGACGTGCTAGGAAAATTCTTGAACAAGAAAAATGAGAGCCAAAAAGCAGAGGTGGGCAGCAGTCTGGGATGAGGAGAGTCAGGTGGTAAAGAAAAACTAGCTGTCAGAATCTCATTTTCAGTGTTGGCAGTTAACCTTCAATCAATTTTATAAGGCCAGGAAATAGCCATATTTTTAATTAAGTGTCGGTGGTAGGCTCAGCAACATAAAATTTAATGATAGAGAAGACACCAACTTAAACACAGCCTCTTACCTCTCCTTCTAAGAAAGAGATCTTTTCTAAAAGCTGCAATATTAAGAGCTGTTTCTGCTGCATCTTTTTCTTTAATGATTCAATCTAGAAAGAAACAAATTAAAAATTGTTAATAAAAACAATAAAGAATTGTAGAAGTACAAGTTAATCAACCAGAAGAGATGCCTTTGGTTTTCATCTGAATAGAACCCTCACTTTGGTTCTCTGTGTCTCATGGAACAGTGTTTAACACGAGTTGCTCCCCGGAATAGAGGGTTCTGCGGCCACATGATTTTGGAGTCACATCTCATTAGGTTTGTTTGACACACTGATTTTGCTGTGTAACCCTTATTAACATCTCATATATGTGCCAGAGAGCATGCTTTTGGGAGATGCAGATGCAACTCTACATAAGATAATTATTCAGCGTAAATTTGTGAGGCAGCCCACATTTTTTTTTTTTTTTTTGGACAGGGAAGAAAAATGTTTTTTAATTACGTACTCAATCCATTTGGTGTATTTCAAAAGGTGCAATACTTTTCTTCATTTATCAGTGAAAGAAGTTAGAAATTAACTTCAGAAAAAAAAATCAGCAAATGGCAAACAAATTTCCTTGAAAGTCACAGTCACATATATAGTGCATCCTAGAAAAGAGGAGGGGCAAGACAGGTTCCACCCACTTTCATGAGTTTCATCAAATACTGGGCCTACTCAAGGGTGGAGAGAAAAGGCAACTTTCAAAAAGGAGTATGTTATTAAATGAGGCATTTACTATACTCCTTCCTAAGAGCACCAGGTGGGGAACAAGTTTTCTAAACTAGATCTAGGAAGAGGCAGCCCACATTTCAAACATTCAGCGCTGTTATTCCTGCTAATAGATTCATATTTGTTCAACCAGGTGTCAAAAGTTTTGGTCTGGGGAAAGGATCACTGTCACTAAAAGTGCAAATGGAATTGAGAGGATCCAGGACTCACGTGGCCTGGGATAAAGAGACTTGAGCTGGGTGTTCACCTTTGTTTTTACAACATGGTCTATCTTCGGCTACTCTAACTCTACTTTTCATTCATGTCAAGTTCCACAGACAAACCATAGATGCCCTAAAAGCAGGAACCAGGGTGCTCTATTCCAGGCTATCTTGTAGACGATAGACAATCGTGGGAACAGTATGCGGGTTCAGTCAATAACTGGTGATTTTGAAGAACACACTAATTTTCCAACAATCTGGTATATTCAATTTGTGCATTTGCAAAATCTTTTTGAAAAATCCTTCTCAGTGCAAAATGACACATAATCCCTCTTTAGAAGTGAATCTGGAAGGAGCTAGGATAAGACAAAAGTACAACCGCATTGCCCTTTGACCCAGCAATCCCATTCCTAGAAATAGATGCCCAAAGACACATTGGCTAAAATATAAAATGACTTGGACAAAGGATTTTTAGTTTTTAGAAGACACAAAGGAAACAGAACTCCATCAATCAGTAAGTGGCTAGTTAAATAAACCATGGTTCATCATGACAGTGGACGGCTACAAAGATCTCTAGAACAGATATGGTGTATTGTAAGGAATATACAGTATGAAAGCTTTAGCGTAAAACAGATGAGGCCATCTGAATGCATATATATTTGCAAAAAGAAATTCTGCAAAGATAAAAGAAACCTTAATTATTAAGAAATACTTGCCAATAGGGAAAGAAGGAAATTAGAGGAGGCAGAAGAAAAGATTTTTTGATAATACCTTCTTACCTACATTTAATTTTGAAAGCACATTTTACAGATTCAAGAAATAAAACTAAACCAAAAAAAAAAAAAAAGTGAATCTGAAAACTTGAAAACAAATCGAAATAAAGGAACTTAACTGTATATCCAGTTGGTGAAAAGAACTCAAGTGTTGTTTGAACAAGTTAATTTGATTCTGTTTTTAGTGGATTGTATTGTAAAAATAAACAGAACCGCAAAGAAGTCTCTTATTCACTAGGAAAACTGTTGGTAATGATATTGTATGTTGTTTTGAAACTATTTGAGATATTGCAGTATAATAATGTTTGGAACCAAGGTTTTAGTGTAAGAGAAAGAAATACAAGTGTGAAATCAAAGAAATAAAGTTTTGTTAAATTTGAAATGAAAATACCAGTATGAATTCATAATTAATATTTTATTTTCATTTGTTAAGTATGCATTTCCTAACTCTGTCCACTGAGGAAACTTAGATATAATAACAACAATAAGCACATAACATATCCAGATTGTGGCATCTAAATACCAACACTCACCAACAAAACACAGGTCATCTTGGAGGAACAACTCATTTCAAGGGGTAAAAATATGCTAGGGGAACCCAAGACACCTTGTGATGCCTGAAAACAAATACTTGAAGGGTCTCCCTTGGGTCAAGGATTGTGACAATGTTAGCATCAAAAAGAATAACGAATGTAATTGAGTCAAACACATGGAATAAATATGTTTTTAAAACCCCGAGTATGTTATGATTCTTCAAAAACTGAAACCAACAGCAACACCATTGGGAGTGACTAGGGAACCAACTCCTTACTTAGAAACTTGGCAACTTAGAGGCAGAAGAAAGCATGTAGCCTGCCTTTCTTGTTCAAACTGCATTTTGAGGTTACTAAGAAGTCCTAGTTAATGAGGGAAGAAGTTTTATTTTTCAGAAGAATGCCAGTGAATAAATGGGGAAAGAATGATGAATTTAGAAAATCACCATTGTGCAATCCCTAGGAAATAACTGGCTCATTATATAAGATGAATTAACAGATGAACCAGTCAGGGGCACATTAAGGAGGAACTTTACAACTGTGTTTTGGGGTGACCCCATCTGAATCCGTGATTGGCCTCAGCATCATCCAAGGCAATCAGACATGAGCGCCGCTGAAGACAGAGTAAATCTCACAGCCCCAGGAAGTATTCTTGCTTCCCCCCACAAGAAAGGTAAAACTGAATCTCACCAGGCTGCTAGAGCTAATAAAAAGTCAAATCCCAAATGTGGGAACATTTATAGGACAACTGACTCAGTTACTGCAATGTCACTGGGTGCGGGAACCTCGGCAGGGGAGGAGGGTACACAGGGAGAAGCGTGTTCTAGATTAAAAGACTCTAGAGAAAAAAAAAAAGACTCTAGAAACAACCACCAAACAAATGGACCTTCTCTGTATACTGACTGAAACAAAGCTTCAGTAAAAAGGCCATTTTAAAGACATTTCAGAAAATTTTAGGACAGATGGGTATTACATGATACCAAGGAATTATCATTAATTTTGTTCAGTGTGTCAATGGCATTATGAGTATATAAGAAAAAGTCCATATGTTTTCGAGATGGATAGTGAAGTGTATAGGAAGCATAAGCCGGATGTCTGGGATTTGCTTTAAAATTACTACACGAAGGGGAAAAAGAGGAAAAGAAGGGGCAAATAGAGCCAAGTTCTGCTGTTTGTTGAATCTGGTCATGAGTCTAGGGGGCTTCATCGATTAGTGTCTGTCCTGAGTGCATCTGACATTTTCATGATCAAATATTTCAAATTCCACCCAGTGCCAAAAAATATAATCCTCCCACATTAAAAGTAAGCCATAGAAAACAATATAATAAGAAACACATTTAAGAAAAACTGTCCAATGTTGATAATAACTAAAGAAATTATAATTAAAAACAGTAACAAGTTACCCTTTAATAACGATTAACTGTACCCAAAACTACCAGCTGCAGAAATCAGTGTTGAAAGAGCTGGGAGAGGCAGCCTCTCTCGTGTGTTGCAGGTGCCATTGTAAATTAGAATGACCCTTTGGGCAATTTAGTAATAAATATTAAGAGCCATAAAGCTGTTCATACCCTTTGACCCACTAATCCCACTCCTGGGAATTTATCCTAAGGATATAATTCAGACATAGGAAAAAAAGCTATATATACAAAGATGTTCTTGCTCCTATTTATAATAGAAACTGGAAATAACCTTAATGTCTAGCAGTAAAGCACTGGGTAGTACATTATGGAATAGCAATTTGATGGAATATATGACACAGATACTACAAACAAATATACTGTAAAATGTAAAAATGTTTGCAGAAAGCCTCAGGGATAAAAATAAAACAAAAAACAAAGCTTACAATGATCAAAGGTAAGAGCTGGAAGTTAGATAAACGAAATCGTACTGAGGTTAGAGTAGGATTATGGGCAAAAGGAAAGTTTCTTTAAATTTCCTTCGATATTTGTAAGAATAGTTTTCAAAAATCATCCTTACAGTGTTCCTCTTTCATTCCTTCCTACAGTATTAAGATTTTTTTAAAAATTGACTTGAATTCTTTAAATGAGAGGCAAGATGGGTACTGAAATTAGCTACAGTGTTCCAAGGAGGTCTATGTAAATTTCATCAACTAACATAAAAAGAGACTTTGAATACACTTGCTTCACTCTCTGTGAAGTAACCGGAATGGTTGGTGAGTCCAGGGAAGCAAGAGATGTGGTTGAAGGGCACCCTAATGAAGAGTTCACAGGAAGATACTGAGGATTTTCATTTAAAAAAGGAGTAGATACAAGGCAGAGGTGTCACCTGGAGGATGCAGAGAGAGGGGAAATCTGGGAGTTCTAAGAGGACAGAGGGCTGATGCTGGAGCAAACAGGCCCCACCTTCTGGGGAGACAGAATGGCTCTGGGAAGGACTTGGGGGTGCTGAAGCTTCTGCCAACAAGTCTCACCTTTCAGCAACTGAAGCTTCAAGAAGCGCTCGTGCTCTTGCACTAAGTGAATGCTGTGCCCACATATTTGCTTTCATCCTTGAGCATTCCTTACGGAAGCTTCTTCAACAGGGGTTGACTTGTTCAGATTAGAGAAAAAAGGACACCAAGGATGGCAGGTTGTGCATGCCTTGGCCCTCCTGCCCTACAACGGGTGCCAACTTGGCATCCCAACTCAGGGGACTGCCCTGGGAGCACAACCCACCTGTCCTCCTATGAGACACCCATCATGAGGTGCAATCTCTAAATCCCACATCTGAGTGGTAAGTGGTGTTATTTCTGACTGCCAACTTCAAAGTGCCTTCAAATATTGTCTCCTATAGAGCCCAGCATGGGATAAACACTCAAAATCTAGCTACTACCA